CTAGAGGTATGATTACGTTATTATTATTAGTAATAATAAGTGTAAATGCTATTTAATTACGGGCGGCCGCATCCTGCTCCCGGCGCCGCCGCCCCGGCAGCTCCGTCCATGTGGCTCCGGAGCGCTTTACTTTCATTTCCAGCCCCCTCGGCCGGCCGCTCGCGGCAGCACCCGCTGGAGGCACGATCTCCCTGCAGTTCTTCCTCCTCGGGTCCTAGAGCGCGTCTCCCCTTGCCTGGCGCCGGGGGTGGGCGGCGCGGGCTGCGCACCTGGGGGCGGAGGGGGCGGGGAAGTCCCCCTTCCCCGTGGAAAGCTCATGCCTGGCATTCACCTTTATTTTCTTTGAAAGTGTCCTTCCCTCTTAGGGCTTTTCTTTTGGCAATTCTGCATTTCTGGGCGGACACTGGTAAAACTCGGCGCCTCCGCCCTTCCTCATGTGTGTAAAAAGCTTCCGGGTTTCCAGATGCTTTCGTTGAAGGCTCCCCAAACCCTTGCTGCCTTGTACCCTTTGCATGGATGAAGACAAGAGGCTCAGAGAGGAATCAGGACCTCCCTCTGCTGTTGTGGTATGTATGGGATGTTTCCCGGAAGGACTTGAGGCTGCTTAGAAGACCAAGAAGGAAAGGGGAAATCACCGAAGGAGAAACCAGCTGTGAGCATCCCTGGCACTGCCTCAGAGCTGGCCAGGTCCAGGTTGGATTTGAATCCAAAGCTTCAGATTCCAAATACGGTGTCATCCCACACAACCATCACCTGCCTCATTGATTCCTCAGAGTTCTCTCTCCTCATTTTACACACACATATGTGTATATATATATACATATATATGTATGCCTGTACATATATATTTTTTAATTCATTGAGGATCAGCTGTGAGCCTAGCTGATTTTAGCTTTACAAGTGTTATCTCTTCCACATTTGTGCCAGACATCATCTTAGAAACTGGAGACAAATTTTAAACATGCTGTGGTAAATGCTATGAGGGACAATAAACTGGCACAATTTACTTAATTAATTCCTCACAGTAATCCTAGAATATCAGTTCTAGCATGCCTATTTTACAGATGGAAAACTGAGGCTTGGAGATTAAGTGACCTGTCCGAAGTAGCAATTCTGACTCCAGAGTTTGTATGCTTTACATGGCCTCCAACACTTTTCAATGTCTATCTTAAAGGAGCCTTGAAAAGGGAAGAAAAAAATGCACCTGCACCATCAGAATTTCTCAAACTCTTCATTCTGTGGATGCCCTCGCTGCCCTCACTACTCTAAGATTAACAAACAAAAAGGGAGCCTCTGGCATGAAGAGGATGGACATTTATGTCCAGAAACGAAAAGCAAAGTCTGGTGGCCCTCAGACATATGGAGAGGTGGGGCTTGTTTAAAATGAAGATCCCTAATTCCCCCCCCACACAACCCCCCACCCCGAGATTCTGACTTAATATATCTGACAAGTACAACCTTGGGGATTCTGAGGCTTAGTGGGAAATCAACCACTGGGTCACCTGTGATAGATCCAAGATCATGGGCTAAAGGCAGCCACAGACAGAGCCTGGCAATTTAGGACGGCTGGGTGGTATGGTAGGGGTATCACTGAGGCAGTGTTAGGAAGACCAGGTCCATTGGAGTCCCAACTCTGCCACTTGCTAGCTGTGTGACCCTCGGTAATCTTGCAGCCTCACTTTCCTCATCTGCAAAATAAGGATAAGAAAACCTAATCAACATAGAGTTTGTTTCAAGTACTATAATTAAATATAGTACAGTGCCTAGCCCACAGGGATGAGTAAATGTTAGTTCCCATATCCCCTGTACAATTTATGATGAAACACTCTTGACAATTTATCATATTAGGTACCACTGTTATTATCAGTACCCCCCCCCATTTTATGGATAAAGATGCTGAGGCCAGCTGGACTACTGACTGCATCTTGCTTCAAATGAACTAGCTGGTAAATGGTATGATGATTCCACCATCCCAGGTTGCCAGTGGAAGAGGACTGTCTGTTATTTAATGTGGATTCAGCTGGACAACAGCCCTCCCCTCTGCTGCCCTCATCTCTTGAATTAGGCATCAATAATAGTTAAACTATCTGAGCTTCCTGCGATGGTAAATGGGCCCTAACGAGACCCCAGAGGAGGTGGTGCTTTGGAGAGAAAGGCCCCAAAACTGGCACCAGCAGGTTGCCCTATGTCCCCACATTAAAACTTAAATAGCAGTAATAGCCACTACTTTTTATTTACTATGAGCCAAGCATGTTGTACATATTGATTCTCTTACCTTCCCCCAAACCCTGTAAGGTAGGGACTGTTTTCACCTGTTTCAGTGTGGAGAAACAGACACAGAGCAGTTAAGCGACTTGGTTGAGGTCACACAGCTAAGAAAGAGGCAGAGACAGAATGCAGTCCCAGCTCGTCCATCTGTAAGATCACAGCATCATGACATGGATATCTTCAATCTGGGGGCATCAACTGGTTCCCACCAAGGACCTGTCACCGGAGTGGGTCGCTGGAGAATGGGAGTCAGACATTCATGCTGTGAACTTTGAGGAACTGACAGATACATCACTCAGTTATCCCTTTTCCAGGGAGCACCTCCTGCTCCAGGCTTAGGTCGGCCATGGCCTGGACCGCAGAGATGCCTTGTTTTGTTTTGTTTTGTTTTTTTCAGAGATGCCTTGTTGTCACCTGGGGAGAGCCTGAGTACATGGCAGTCTTAGTGCAACCATGTATGGTGTTCATTCACTGACTCAGAAACATTCATTGCCAGGCCTTAGGCTAGGTCCTGGGACTGCAGATAAACCCCTGTCCCAACTGCTCCAGCACAGTCCGAGGTCCCAGCCCTCCAGCAAGGGGTCTTCACTTGGGGTTTAGGGAAAGACCGTGAAGATGAATGCACAATGTTAGACTTAGGTTGGGGATAATAAGAGTACTTCCCCCCTGGGGTTACTGTGAGGAGTGAGTTCCTGCATGCAAAACATTGAAAAATATGTGATTAAATAAATAATAAAAACATAATACATACTCCTGGAAAACAGTCCATAGAATTCAGATTCTCGAAGGTGAGGGTGATTTTTAAAAAAAGAGAGAGGGGTGGACCCTTGAGCCTAGAAGTATAATACAGTGAATGAGATGCCGGTGATAAAACACGGTCACATTTGTCCCCAATATGCTTGCAAATGTTCAAGGAGACAGAAAGTTGAAAGAACTGTACAACCCTAGCTTATGCTACATTGTTAACATTTTGCTATAGTTGCTTAATCATGTACTGATCCTTCCATCCATCCACTCATCAATTCGTGTAACATTTTTGTTAAAAACAAAACAGGTAATTTTTAACTTTCTTCTTTATGCTCTTTTGCATTGATACTAATTTTTTTAAACTGCTGTCAGTTTTCATTTGAAAAATGAAATTATTTCCATTTGGAAACAAAAGAATTCTTGAAGGAGAAAATAATCTACCAAAAGGGCTTGGTGCCAGGAAACTCTTCATACACGTTAGAACTTAATTTAAGCTCCTCCCCAGTCACCATCCTTTTTCATCTCATTCATCACTGGATTCCAGAAGAGTGCCTTGTACATAGTAGAATGCTGAATAACTATTTGTGGAGTGAAAGAATTCTTTTAATTATGGTTGTTTATCGAGGTTAAAAAAATTAGTTAAGGGAGCCCTGGGCTTGAACCCAGTGGGGAATGTGGTTTAAGTTTACTTGTAACAGATGATGTAGCAACCCCCTCCTGCAATGTGGATAGGCCAGGAGCACCTGCCTCTCTCCTCTCTCCAAGGGCCAAAGGCTAGCACCCAGTTGAATCTTGGGACTTTCTCTCCACATTCCTCACGTGTCTGACATAGTTCAGGCATTTGTTTTTGATCTGACTAAATGGCAAATCTGCAGCCTTGGTAGCTCTTCAGGAAACCAGGATAAATATTGTTATTTAGTCCATTTACGATTGGCAATCAAGTTTGTTTTCAGGCACTAGAATGGAATTTAAAACACTCGGTTAAAGTAAACCAAACTAATCAGAGGCAGTCTGCTTTTCTCTTCAAAACATTAAAAAAAAAAAAAAGAGGAAACAAAATAATAAAAACCACTGCACAACAGGGAGAAATCTGGAACATCCACTCTCCCTTTACTCCCATCTCACACACACAAAGTAACCTGTTTTGCCTGTTGAAAAGAATCCCAGAGATCTGGCTTCTACTATGTCTTATCTAAGTTACTGTGTAATGTGGGCAGGTTATTTGACCTCTCTGGGCCTCAGTTCACCATCTGTTGCAAAGAGGAGAGGATGGCCTAACATGATTCTGTCCGTCAAAAGCTTTGATTCCACTTCCCGGGCCAGGCAAGCTCCCAGGTGATCATTTGAAAGAGAAAGTTGGAGAAAGGGAGGGAGAAAGAGAAAAAAGATGACAAATGTGTTGCTTGGAAACACTGATGATTCTAGACTCTTCTGACTCACTGTGCAAACCCCCTTCTCCTTTTTAAATCACAGTCTCCCCATTTGAAAGGGGTTTGAGATAGAACCTAGATTCAAGAGTAACAAACAGAATCTGGATTGCTAAGGGGCTGGGTCTATGATTTTTAGCTTTGAATGTGGACACCTCCAGGAAGAACATCTCTCCACATCTCCACAAGCCCCATGGGGCTCCTATTACCACCTCCTATTACCCACCTGGTCTTTGAAAGCCATTGTTTCTGCTAAGAATTCCCTTCCAGTTCTGAAACCCATCCATCACTTGAATGAGGAGGAAGATCACCTAAGATGTTTTACTGCCCACGTTCCTCTTCCCTTTGGAAGGTCCCCATCAGATGAAAGTCTCAGAAAGTAAAACTGGAAAAGGGAGCCCGAGGATCACCCCAAGGAAAATTTAGACTGATTTGATCAGTCCTAGCTGGAATCAGCACAGGAATAGCATCAGACCTAACTGAGAGCGTCTTAGCCTTCTCAGATGATGATTCATTTTAAGGAAACATCCGATGGCCCTGCCTGGAATCCAGTTCAAAGGTGGAAACCTGAAACACCTATGACAGGCCAGGCCCCAAGAGGATGCTGCCCAGATGGAGACAGTACCTGCCCAGAGGCTCTCTCAGGTTGAGGCAGATGCTGCCAAGAATACTGTTAACTCTGACTATGAAGAAGCTCTCAAGGCTGCAGACCAATTGCTGCTGGGGCTTGCAACTTGCTGTGGGGCCCAGAGGAAGGTGACTCATTGTAGCTTAAGTCCGGTAGGAAAGCCTCCTAGAGGAGGTGGCATTTGATATGGGCCTTGTAGGCAGAGGAGGAGAAGGGAGGTTGGAAAGACGATCCACATCTCAGTAGCTGTGTGAAGCTCCAGGGTCTGGAGCTTCAGTTTTCTCA